CTCTTTTCAGTTAAGCATTTTTCCTTTTCTTTTTCCCTTCTCCTCCTCTTCCTCCTCCTCCTCCTTCTTTTTCTTTGTGCCCCCCCCCCCCACCCCAGCCCCTTGAATGGGCTCTTTGTTTTCAGGATTTATTTGGTATAAGGTCATGTCCTACATTAACCCATACCGGCCCAGAGAAATGAATTCCATCCCCAAGGAAAGCACAGTACCTCTAGGACTAAGAATGTATATGCCTCTACAGTGCTTCTAGAGTATTAAAAGCATGGGAGGATGGCGATCAAGGTAACACCATCCCTGAGTTGTCAAGTTCTATGATCACAGAGACTGAGCAACAAGACAGCAATGACATCCTAGGCTGAGATTTCTAGGAGTTCTTTGGAGTAGGAAAACAATCTTGAGCCAAGATCCCAGGATGTTGTAGGCAGAAACTCCAATGATAATATTCTACACTCACATTTAATGTCTTTCTGGCAAGAAAGACAAGCAGACAGATTTTTAAGAAGTTGGTGGGTGAGAACTTATTGGGAAGGGAAGCTTGAATAGGTCTTTGTAGGAACAAGTATTCTAAATTTATTATGTTTTTCAAAGAATGGAGCCAGGTGCAGATTCTGAATAGGACCTTAGCATATAGGAAGTGGTGTATTGGAATAATTTGGAACTGTTTATCTTAATAAAGTTAGTACTAGCTGAAAAATGTGTGTGTATGTGATTGTGTTGCTGTACTGGTTAAATTACTTGACACTCCAGTGTAAGTGTTTAAAACAATTAGCCAAAATTAGTTTTTTTACTTTCTTTTGATACACAGCTTTTCAGAAAGGGCATATATGTAAACAGTAACACTTGTTTTTTCCCTAGGATGAAGTTCTGTCATAAAAGGTTTGGCGATATTTGATTTCTCCTTTGGACAAAGGTCTTGTTAAAGAGTTGAGTTGTAGAGTTATTTCACATTTATGAGATCAGTTCTTAACATCGCCATTTGGATATTCCTGAATTCCATGTGAATGTCAATTTTATGTTTTACTTGGAGAAATTTCATTTCATTCTACGGACTGAAGCTTTGCATTCTGACATTTTGGAAATGAAATATTTACTTTAAAGATTAACAACCTCCAAAACCTGTAATGTTTTATTATTAACTGCAGTAATTTTTATGATTCCTTTTTTGTCATATGTACTCATTTGACATGTTTATTCTAAAGAGTGGTCTCTTCTATAACTACCCCAAACTGACAGAGGAGCCTTTCTTCCTCTCATTGACCTCATTTCTTGACTAGACGCTCTAGTGCTTTTCTACTAGGTACAGACTTGTTTCCCTTTTCATCCCAGCCCCCTAACAAGTATCACCCTAAGGAAGGCCTTGTCCTGTATAGGATTCCCTTGCATGTGCTCTAAACAATCCACACCCCACTGCCAATCTCACGGGTACATCCTGTGCCCTATTGTCCCTGTTCAGTCCCTTCTTAGAACACCTTAGCTTCCTCATCCCACCTGTCTCTGCTTGCCAAAGCCATATTTGGTTTTCAGAGTCCATTTCAAATGCCTCTTTTTCCACTTGGTTGCCCTTTGGCCCCTATTCCTGCAGCAAATATTAATCCCTGATTACTCTTTAACACTCTACACATAGTCCTTCTCAAGAATCCTTTACTGCCTGTTTTTGAGGAAGTTGATGTGTCTTTGTCAGAGTGTAAACCCTTTGAGGTAGGAGTTGTATCTTACCTTCTGTCTCTTGCAGGCACCAACCAGAACATCTTGCATGGGCAGCCTGGAGCCAACAGTTGCTGAGTTAAATTGTTAACCAGTCACAGTAGTATTCTTTCCAAACCAGCAGTGGTGTATCTCGAGTTAATCATCTGTGAGTGGAGATGAATGTAGCTTTACTGAAAATACGACTTACATGATTAGATTAGAGTGTAGTTAGAATAACTGTAGGTTACTCTTAAAATACCAGATCTTAACATCATCCCCCCAAAAAAGTTTAATAAAGTGTCCAATAATTTTCTTGCATACTAGTAAACCTGGATGGGGATATATAGAAAAATTATTTTCAAAATTAATAGCACTAGCAACAACAAAACCGCAAATGCTTAAAGGTACATGAATAAGAAATGTATTATATAAATAAAACCATCAAACTTTAGTAAGAGATGTAAAGATTTTGAGTAATTATAGATAACATTCTGGATAAGAATATTGAATATTGTGGGGATTTCAGTTCTATCCAGATTAATTTATAAATTTACCATAGTCCCAATATAAAATGTACTGATTTTTTCTTCTGAGTGACAGAATGATCCTAAAACTTATCTCTAAAAACGAATAGGTATGAATAGTTATGGCAGTTTTAAAAAAAGAAGAGTAATGAAAGGATTTTCAGGATAGGGAATTCTTTGTCAGATACTAACTGATAGTCTTTGCAACAATTTGGTTTCAATACAGGATTTAAGATGTCAATGGAGATTATTAGAGCCCCAGGTAGACATTTTATGTATAATTAACTTCATTTGTAACAAAGTAAACATCGCAAATCATAGGAGAAGTTATTGATTATTCAGTAAGTATCGCTAGGGAAATTGGCTCTTGGAGAAGGGGAGGAATATCCTATATATTCTATATTCTCACCTTTAATTCCAGAAGGAATAAGTGGTAAATGTTAAAAAGGAAAATAGAATCAGAAAAGAAATACACGTTTAAAAAAAAAAAAAAAAAAGGATCTGGGACACCTGGGTGGCTTAGTCGATCAAGTGGCTCCCTTCAGCTTCAGTCCTGATCCCAGGTCTTAGGTTTGAGTCCCACATCAGGGTTCCTTGCTCAGCAGGGAGCCCTTCTTCCTCTGCCTCTGCCTGCCACTCTGCCTGTTTGTGCTCTCTCTCTTTGTGACAAATAAATAAAATCTTTAAAAAAAAAAAACCAAAAGACCTAAAGATAAAGAAAAAAAAAAGGAAAAAAATCAGAGGAAAAGATTGATAATATTTGATTATGTAAAAATTTTGAAATGTGTATGTTGAAACATAAAATATAAGGGACACTTTAGTGGAAAATATTTGGAAAATATTTTAGTGGAATATATTTATATTATATATTATATTATTATAATATATATTATATATAATATATATATATTTTATTATTATTATATTAAATAGTGGAAAATATTTGCCAAATATAATAGACAAAGGTTGCCCTTACTATTTATAGAACTCTTACGAGTAAATAAAAAATTTTAACATTCCAATAAAAATGGACAAATATGAACAAGGAAAGCCATAAAGAAATGCAAATAAGAAAATGTATATTTAAAACTAATATCGGGACGCCTGGGTGGCTCAGTTGGTTGGACAACTGCCTTCGGCCCAGGTCATGATCCCGGAGACCCAGGATCGAGTCCCGCATCGGGCTCCCAGCTCCACGGGGAGTCTGCTTCTCTCTCTGCCCTTCTCCTCACTCATGTTCTCTCTCACTGTCTCTCTCTCAAATAAATAAATAAAATCTTTAAAAAAAAAAAAACTAATATCAAAATAAATTAAAATGTGTAAGATAAACAATCATGAAATACCATTTTTGCTCCATCAGACTAGGAAAGATTGAAATTTAATACTTAGAGGTGGTAAGAGTATGACGAAACACACACTCATGGATTATTTATTGATAGATACATAAATCAGTGTGAACTTTTTGGAAAAACAGGCTTTACTATTGGATCCAATAATTCTATTCCTAGTGATCTATCCTAAAATAATGGAGATACATATTGCATTAGTCATTTCTTTCTGTATAACACTCCAAAACTTGAGTGACTTTAAAAAATAAAATAAATAAATAAAATAAAAGTAAGCATTTATTAGCTCCCAGTTTCTGTGGGTTGGGAATTCTGTTGCAGCATAGCCAGGTGCTTTTGTCTCAGGTTTTCTCAAAACCCTGCAATCAAGTGGTGGCCAGGACTATAGATAAGATGTGGATGGGGGATTATCTGCCTCCAGGCTTACTCACATGGCCACAGGTCTTGGCTAGCTGTAGGCTAAGACATTAGTTCCTTGCCCCACGGCGCTCTCCATCAAGCTACTTTAGGATATGGCTTGTCTGCTGTAGGGAGAGATGGAGTTCTACTCTTTTTGTAACCTGATATTGAAGGTAACATCTCTTCATTTCTGCTAACATCTCTTTTCATTAAGTAAGCACCAGGTCCAAACCACATTCTAGGGGAAAAGATCACATAAGGACATGAGTAACAGAGGAGGAGTTTTGTTGGAATATTTTAGACACCCGTACACAGGTTAATATACAAAGGTTTTCATCAGTTTTTTAAAAATTTATAATAACAGAAATATAAATAATCACATATAGACAAGCAAGTAAGCAATTTAAATATTCTATAGTGGAAGAAGTTATATTGAGCTAGATCCACATAGTGGTAGTATAATTGCATAATAATGATAATATCTATCCTTTCTGAGTGTCAGTCATGTGCTATTCATTTGCTACATATTGTACAAATATTTCTGATCTCGACAACAACAATGTAAGGTTGGTTATTACCCTCATTTTACAGATGAAAAAACTGATGCTCGGATGCACAGTAGTTCACTGAATTCTCAGAACTCACATGCCATCATGGGGTTATTCGGCTTCAAAGCCTGGTAACCACACTGCCACTGAAGTATGCTTATGAAGATTATTAAATAACATGAGGAAGACTTACAAAACTGTTTTTACAAAATGATCTGTGTGTACACATTTTATTTACATTGAAGAAAAAAGATAGTCACAAATGTTATCTTTCAGTGGTAGAATCATAGAATACTAAATTTTTTCTTTACACTCGAATTTCATTCTAAATCTACATTGTGCATGTATTCCCTTTATAATCATTGAAGAAAATTGGAATGCTTTGTAAATGTTTCAGCTCCCTAGGAAAAACTACTAATAAGACTTGTACACACAGTTTTATGTAAAATTGAAATTTTACTTGATAATGAATCAGTTCCTTTAATCTGCTCTTCTAGATTACTGATCTCTCCTTACCCAACTATCTGATGGCATCTTCGGTTGGACTGCTTCCTACCCAGCTTCTGAATTCTTACTTGGGTACCACCCTGCGGACAATGGAAGATGTCATTGCAGAACAGAGTGTTAGTGGATATTTTGTTTTTTGTTTACAGGTGAGTTTAAGGCCAAAGGTTGTCTTTTTTTTTTTTTTTTTTAATTTCCTTTTTCTATGGCATTACTGATTTAAAACAGATTTCATTGAAAATCATTTAGGAGGATTTTTCCTTTTTGTGTCTTTCCTTGTTCTTTTGGTTATACTTCGTATTTTGACATTTACATTTTAATTGTGTGGATATATGGAAGTTTATAGAACTGAATTGGTACTTACTGAAAATTCTCTTTAAAAAGGGAATGACAGGGACGCCTGGGTGGCTCAGTTGGTTGGACGACTGCTTTTGGCTCAGGTCATGATCCTGGAGTCCCGGGATCCAGTCCCGCATCGGGCTCCCAGCTCCACGGGGAGTCTGCTTCTCTCTCTGACCTTCTCGTCGCTCATGCTCTCTCTCACTGTCTCTCTTTGAGCTCAAATAAATAAAATCTTTAAAAAAAAAAGGGGGGGGGAATGACAAAAATAAGGTTCTTTTTGCAGTGATTTTCAAAGTCATCACTCTATTTTGGGTTTTTGTGAAGTGTTGTTAATACTATGCTTCTGAATATAATTTTAGTGAGGTTTGATAGAGTTGGGTTTTTGTCTTATCTTCAAGTTATTAAACTCTCCAATTGATATTTTTTAAGAGTATTATGCTGGCAATGTAAACTTTTTCCAGTACAATTTTATGTAGAACAAAATAATTTTTAGAAAGTATTGCTTTATAAAAACCATCTGAAGTATTTCATTACAAATTTAAATAAGATTAGCATAATGGATTGTTATTGCCATGTGAATTGTAATATAGTTTAGGGTACATATGATTACATATAAAAAAATGTTGTTAAGAGAGAAAAATCCAGCTGTGTAGGCATATTTATTCAGTTCCTTTAAGTTGTAACAGGAAGAGTTAAAAAAAACTCATTTCTTTGGTTGTGCTACATGTCCTTCCTGAGATTTACCAACATATAAAATCACCATAATTTTTGATGATTTAGTAAGATGCTGATAATAACTTTTATTGAGATCTTTATATGCTATATATTTAAGCTCCTTTAATCCCTACCAAAGGGCTGGAAGGTATGTATTTTTAATATCTCCAGCCTATTGTGTATACATCTCTTCCCAACTTCGTGTTCAGTGACATCAGCAGTGGTAACTTGAAATTGATCTTGGCAAGAGTATTTATACCGTGGACAATGGCAGGTGCTCCAAATCAAGATTCCTACCTCTGATCTCCACGAGCTAGTTTATCAGCACACTAGTGGAGGGCGATTTGTGTAAAGTCATAGCTACAAGGGGTAGAACCATGATATAAACAAACGGAGTTGGCTCTGTGAACTATGCTCATAACTAGGACCATAGTTTACTGAGCAGATAACACTGAAATAGCCGATATCTTATTGATCCCTTAACTTGTTAGTTTTTATTTATGTTATTAAATATATGATACCATATTAGAAATTTAGTGTATCATTCTCCACTTTTTTTAAGGTACTATATTGTATTAAAAATATTATGATAAATAAAGCCAGAGTTGATTTTCTCTGTGCTTATGTAGTATAAGTTCAGTAAACAGAGTGAGCCCAGGAATATTTATATTGAACTATAAATAATGCCATCAATTAAATGGCTTGCTTTATGAAAAAATTTGTAATATTTTTGACATTCAGGGAATTTTTTTTTTTTTTTACTTTTTTTCTACAAAGTTATACACACACACACACACACACACACACACACACACACAGACATATTTTAAAGAACCTGAATCTAGGTTTAGGGTTTTTATTATAGTTGGTTTATTTTTATTGATGTAGTATGTTAATCACATATTAAACTTTTTATATATTATAGGTACGTGATAATGTATGTTTTTAATTACCTCGAGGTACTATAAGATTCTAACATACCCTGCATTCTCAGATTTTTTTTAGTATAAATTTAAGTATATTTTATGTTTTTCTAGTTTCTTGAAAATGAATAATCCATTTGAAATATATTTCTCCCCCCTTATATTATGCTTGAGTCATTAGAATTTGTCATTATTAGTAGGTTTAATAATATTTTCACTATTTGATACTTTATATTCCTGAGCATCTTAGTAAATCATTAAACTATAATTGGTAGAATTATAATAGAAAAAAATAGTTCATGTATTTGTCACTTGTGCTTCTAAAAATATAGGATCTTCTTTTTAATCCAGTGATTTTATACCCCTTTGTTTGAGCTGACAAATTTAAGTTTAGCATAGAAGACGGGAAAAAAGGGCAAATAGTTCTTAACCCAGACATTTATGAAAATAACAATAACCATCACAACAAAAAAAATAAAGACATATTTATGCCTCAGTTTTATTTACTGATGTTACTTTATAGCTTAGTATATTTCAGAAAGGATTTAATTCAGCTTACAAAAGATTTACAGGAGAATAAAACAAGAGGAAAAAGAAGTCATCCTGAAGAGAGAAGTCCATAGGAAAAAAGGATGAAGCTTAAGTGAAAAGTAGAGTAAGTGTGTTCACGAGGCTTCTCATACTTGCTAGAAATAAGCCACGAATCTGCCTCTGAACTTCATAGCCACCTAAATAGAACCCAGTGTCTATAAAATTAAAACAATACAAAATAGATGTTCAGAGGAAGGCACAACTATTTCTTGTACAAAAATCCCACTTGGATTCTGTGGATTCGCAATTCAGTTAACTCTTTTCCATGCCCTGTATTTTTCTGTGTACGCAGCAGCCAAAACCCTGGATGAGTCCAAGTTTTGATATGCTTTGCACCTGTTGTTTTCGGGAAGTCATACAGCCAGATTGGTAATATTTAATTCATCGTTGCAAACCTTCTGCTGGTTTCTCAACATTGCCCCATAGCCCAACTGTTTCGTCTTCCTACTCCCCCATTGCCTCAGTGACTACTGCAAACCTATCTCAGCACCTCACAATTTTGATTTCTAACCCCACGTTCCTCTTGAGTGTCAACAGATTATCTCTTTTGCTTAACAGAAAAATCAGAAGCCTTCAAATGGGAAACCCCTCAATTTCCATCTAAGAAATCCACTAAACACTCTGTGTTCAGCTCACGCTCTCAGCTTGTTCTCCAGTGGATAGTAGAAGAGATGCCTTTTGTCTTTGATTCTTTTGTTTTAGTAGGGAAACTTTCTAAAACAGGTTTTTGTTTTTTGTTGTTTGTTTTGTTTTTGTTTTGTTTTGTTTTTACATTTACACCAAGGTGGTGTGTTGGGAAAAGACTCTGTACAAATTGCCAGGCCCTGGGTCTAGAAGGGCCTCTGGGGAAAGTCCCATGTAGCGATGTAGCTAGTTCACCCTCACTGGGAACCTGAGAAGTTTTTCTGCCAGATCTAAGCCTACTTTCTATGACTGTCATCACCAACTTTGTTGAAATCAGATGCACTTTCCAGTTCTCATCTAGCTCGATTTCTTAGCAACCTAAGATTCTGCTAACCATGCCTTTTTAAAACATTTTTTTTCCCTTATCATTTTGATTGTTTTTTTTCTGCTTGCCTGGTTCATTTATCAGTATCTCTTCCTCTTTTCACCCCCGAATTGATGTTCCTCATGATTCTAGCCTAAGCTTTCTGTTCTTACTCTGAAAACTTTTCTCCTTAGCAAATCCTATTACTGAGTTAGCTGCTGTTAACGTTTATTTGTGTAAGGACTCCCTGATACACATCTTGAGCCCAGCCTTCTTTCCATAGCTTTGGACCTGTTCCCTGCACTGCTTTGGATCTCTGTTCAGCACCTCAAATTCAACATGTCTGAGGCAGAGTGTAGCATCTCATCCACACCCTTTCCAAGTTAGTTCTAAGGTACTTTCCATGACTTCACATGGTGTCATCACAACACTGATAAGTATCAGACTGAGAGTTTTCAGTGAGTAGATCTTGTTTGTTTGGTTGTTTTTTAAAGAGAGCTCACATGTTAGAGAACCAACACAAGATTTGAAGGCCCACCTTTAAAATACCTAATTTGCTCAGAATTCTATGGTATAATGAATACCCATTTACTAGTGCCTCCCTTTCACAAGTTCCAAATTCCCCTCTCTAATCCACCCCCAGCATGTCTGCCTCTGCACTTCCCCCACTACCCTCAATGCTTATATTTAGAATATTTTTCCCACAAAACTGCTAAAATTATGCATAGGCTTAATTGAAACAGTATTATATTTTAGGGTCACTGTGGATAGATCAGCCTTTGAAACTTACTGGGACATTAAAGGTCACTTGCTCTAACCTTGTTGCACTGAGACTATTTGCTCCAAACTCTGAAGAACTGACTTACAAATGAAGTTAGAAGATGTGTACTGCCTAGACATTTTGATGAACTGTATATAGAATGTTAAAGCATCTTAACACATAAAGAGGGGCCACAGCTTCCTATTGGAGAGTAACAGAAGCCCCACATAGCAATGTGAAATCACATCACTAGTTGAGTGGCTAAACCAAGACTAGCACCTGACTTTCATGTCAGTGCTTTTTCTAGCATCCCTTTGATGGGCATTTTTTTCTCAATCACGTTTTCCTTTGTTTTGTTTTTCCCTAAGCACAAACAATTTCATGTTCATGGTCTCTTGTTAATTTCTTTTGAAGTTTATTGGCATTTCATTTTTTAAGTGGTTCTTGATATTTTGCATTTTGGCTGCACCAGATAGTTCATTTGCAAATGGTAGTGCTTCTCTCTAAGCGGACTTAGGAATACCTATGGACATTTATGGTCATGCAAAGATATAGTACATTAATTAAATTAAGATTTAGTTGGCAGACCTCTGTTGTAGACTTTTTTTTTTTTTTAATCCTTGAAGCTTTTTGGTACAAAGAGACAAGTTTGACTTGTATCAAGCAAACATCATGTATATGGACTAAAAGGGATGTATGCTTGCCTTGTGTTAACCTGATACCCTGTGTTGATGATGTATAGATTTTAACCCTCCACTCTCAATAGACGAAGCCAAGGAAAGAATGGATGGCAACTGTGTATAATCTATTTAAAATTCTTACCTGACCATATTTGAGAAGCATCCTGTTTGAAATATTTCTAAGCTAAATATTTACTGGGTTTATTTCTCCTTTTTTCCCCCTGTGTAAAATATTGTTAACTGTAATGTTTTATTTTTATTCACAGATTATTATAAGTATAGGCCTCATGTTTTATGTAGTTCATCGAGCTCAAGTGGAATTGAATGCAGCTATTGTAGCTTGTGAAATGGAACTGAAAACCTCTCTGGTTAAAGGCAATCAACCAAATACCAGTGGCTCTTCATTCTACAACAAGAGGACCCTAACATTTTCTGGAGGTGGAATCAATATTGTATGACTGATGAAATGTATGATTGTCAAGAGCTAGTGTGCTGTCCAAGGTCCAGTGGTCACCTTACCAGTGGGCAGAGACAAGTTCTAATTGTATACGGCACAAACAAAACTGACTAGTTTTTAAATTGCACAATTTTTTAAAGGAAGAATCATTTTCTGGATATGTAAGTGTACATGTAGATGCAAATTTGGGCTGCACCTCTTTATCATTTATTATGCCCTCCGTGGCCTATAGGTCTGCACTTTAGTGTTTTTTAATTGTTTTCTTTCTGGGTACTTATGAACAGAGAAATAACCCAAATATTTTTCTGCTTAGTGTCTTTATTTATAAAGTCCATGAAAAGTTGTAAGCAAGCATCTTCCCTACTTATAATGATGAGTAAGAGTATGTAATTTTAAATGTATGATATTATTTAGATGTTCTTTATCCTTTTCAGAAAAGATAGTGTTTCTTTGTTTTGTTTTTTAAGTGGGACCACTTTGCTTCCCTTTTCCTTACGAGTTAGAATATAGACATTAACTTTCAGTTGAATGTATTTTTGCAAGCATCATTGCAGGGCCATTTACACCTGTTCACACAAGCTTAAATCCTACATTGTGGGACTGAAGTGCTCTTAAGATACCTTTTTATTTTCACTGTGGAATATGCAAAGTAAAAGGGAAATTATTGGGCAGTGGCTCAAATTAGAACCCATGTTCTAATTCCATTACATTGGCTTTACTCTCCTTAGATCTTTCATCAAAGGGCTGTCCCATTGCAGTCTTACTAAAAAGTTTTAGTAAAATAAACTTCTTTTTCCTTTTATATTCATCATTAGGCTTTGAGATAAAAGATCTAATCCTTTAAAATGATGGACTTACCATCATTGAAGATGTCACTCAGGTGGCCTTGTTTGATCAAATCGCCTTTTAAAAAAAACAAGCTTTAAAATCATGTTTATCAGTCCACTGAGTTACACATATATATTTGTCCCCATAGTCTTCAGCTTTAAAACTATAAATACACTGTTAATGCCCAAATTTGTATTATTTGCCCTACTATAAAATGGGTTTATTTTGTTTGTTTTTTGGTACTTGTTTTTCTCTGATAAGACTCAGGAATTCTGAAATGTGAAATTAAGTCTCAATTCTTTCTCTTGTAGAATGAATTGAGTATATTTATTAATAGCACTTAGGAGTATATCATACAATAATTTGGCATATGATTCATATGACATATGTATTATGCATCTATCACCTTATGATTTTAAAATGGTTTAGTTGTGAACTTGATGACTAATGTTTTTTTTACAACCCAGATTATAGATACGAATGCAAATTTTCTGGTTGGTATCTCTTTTTTGGCTATGAAGATTCCACCTTATCAGAGAACTCCCATTTGCCCTTTCATGAGGGTAAAACCTTTGCCCTGATTCACTAAAGTGCAAAAGAATTCTATTGGAGCAGATTATTCTAGTCTTATGTTAAAGACACATTGCATTTGATTTTAATGCATAAGTTTTTTCCCTTATTGGAGTTATAATCGATTTCCTTACCTTCATCATATCTAAGTTTTCTCACCTTTGGGTAATAGAAAAGTTCATTTACATGTCCATACCAAGACTTCAGTGCAAATGATCCAAGAAGCAGCTGGGTCTGCAGTACTTAATTGGCCTCCAAATCCTCCTTTCTTTCCTTGGTAGAAAAAAACATACAGTACTAGAATATTCTTATTCTTTTTTTATCCTAATTACTTGTTTCTATTTTTTTAAATAATTTTAATTTAATAATCCCAATGAACAATATGCTTGATTTATTCTTTTCTGTCTAATTTGACAGTATTTTTCTTGTGTTTCTTGTTTTTGATAAGTTTTTGTTAAAGGAATCATTTAAGATCACTACTTTCAGACTTGTGTTACACTTCATGTCTATTGAAGTGCATTTATTTACTTAGCATTTTGTAACTTGAATAATTTCACCAAATGAATACCTTTTAGTAGTTTGTAATGAGTTCTTCCAATTGTTGCATTTTGCTTCATACTTAAATATGTAAAGGTAGAAGAGAAATAATTTTTCTGTATTCTGCCAATCATAATTTTATATAATAAAATCATCCATTTTTACTTAAAATAGTATGGATTTACTATTTCTAAAATACTAATCTAAAGCTGCAATTTTCCTTTGCTTCATTATTTCCCAGCCTCCCAAGTAAACAACAATCTATTATATTCATGCTTTTTGATAGCTGAATTTGGTTACTGGATTTTGGATGTGTTCTCTATAAACTGTATGAAGCATTGCCATGCTTTATTCACTCCATCTTTAAGCTTGCATCCCAGATTTATGGCAGCAGCAAATTTAACAAGATCCTTGTATGTTGCCCAAATAATGCCTCCAGATCTAGAGTGTATATTTTTAAAATAAAATGTTTTGACTTTACAAACAGCAGTATAAAGTTGCTTTATGAACGTTTTAAAAATCATACAACATACCTAATTTCTCAATATGATGAAAGATAATATTCTGTTTTTAATTCTTTGGGCCTTTCCCTTAGTTTTCCGTACTTTTTTGGTTTATTGTTAATGATTTGTTTACTCTTTGCCAAATTTTATTATGTAAATTATTTTTAAACAGCACATCGTTTTAAAAATGTGTACATAATAATTTACTAAGTGCTTTCATGTCCATTTTCATTTGATCATCAGATTTGTGAAATAACTTGAAATCTGTACTCTTTGGTTTATGAAAATAATAGAACCAAATCTCTGTCATTAGAACACGTGTTTTTACTTTGTGTTCAAAAGAGACTGGGTAGATTTGTTCCGAGCCTGCCATAGTCTTGTTTTATGTACTTTGTAATCAACTGCAAACCTAAGATGACTTTCCTTTGGTAGGGTCAAATGTATGACTATAAGACATTTCCCTCCTTGAGAAGCTAAGTTGAGTAGTTACTCTTACTTACCTTGCTGTAACTGAGCTCAGTGGTCTCGCCACCAGCATGTCCCAGCATTTCTGTGTGTGTTAATGTGCAATGCTGATTTGGACTGTTCTTGGGGAAGGTGCTATGGCTTACTTATGTCCGTATTTGTGGGACTAGCTTTAGAACGCTTGAGAAAGAGGATAGGTATGTGTCAGGGTGATACAGGTCAGTCCTTAAATGCGTGGTAAGTCCACGCTATTCAAATCTAAGTGGTGTTTGCAGAGAAAAAGAAAGGTTCAGGAGGACCTCAGGGACAGTGAGACCGACCTGGGTTGATGACTTTGGTGATGGAATTTTGTTTCAGAACAATGGTCAAAATAACAGTGTTTGGTGTTTAGATGGGACATTGCTGATTTCTGTTGTAATCAGCTATTTAGGATATTTTTTTTTAAAGGTCATCTCTTTAAGTTTGAAAGCCTTTAAAGGAGGGAGAGGAATCACCCATTCCACAGGATATTTGAAACTCAGGAGTTCTGGTAACTGTGCATATTGAACATTAACTGTTAATTTATTTCACAACTAAATTATAACTTGGTACTTTGGAATTGCTAAGTGATTGCTGCAAACTATTTTCTATGGTAGCTGAAGATTTAAAATAGATAATTCAATGGGTGAATCAGTAAAATCTCTTGATAATTGACATCCCAGATCACTTGTGTGCCTGAGAAAATAAAAGGTGATATTTTATTTTCCTTCTTTCTTCTCTTTCTTTCCCTCTATAATTGGATGGATATAGAGACGTGTGACATGGGAGGGAGCGTAGGAGGAAGGGAAGACATGCTTCTAAGATGGAATGGTGGTGACACTAGATGAGGGTGGTCGTGGTTATGGTTATAGCAGAGGCCCTCTGGAGAGATGATTCTGATGTCTAACATTGCCACTTCCCCTTCCATTTTTTTTTTCCCCTTATACCGCTAAATCATGAAATGCCACCTACCTGTCAAAAAATCTTGTCATTTGTCCCAGGCTACAGTAATGTTTACAATGCCTTCATAATAATGAAAGTCTTTCACCAGTATGATTTCCTGTTGATCTCTACCTTTGTTCCATGACTGTTGCTTTGAGGGCATACTCTGCTGTCATACACTTTCATCTCAGCACCTAAAATAATGCTTGTCCTTGTTGACTTGTAGCAGTTACCATACTGTCAATGTACATCTTTTTTGGTCAAAATTGCTTGCTGGGACATAACATAGGCCAAAAGGGGGATACCCCATGTTGACAGACTGCTCTAAGTAGAGAGGTGCAGTGGAGTGCCCATTGGATAAGCGTGCCTGGCAGTGCATGTGCTCATTACCCAAGATGGCACAGTACTCCCTGCCATGCTCGCCGTCCCTGGTTGAGGGGCCTGTCAGCACCCATTGTGGGGAATACACAGTAGTAGTATCCTATATTATGAGATCAATATTGAACATTTTTAGGGATAGCATTAAATGTACAGTGGTATTAAAATAGCATATGTGTATATGGTAAATTTGACCATTCTGCCATGTTTCAACAAAGCTGGTTATCCAAGGAGTAATTACTAACTGATATTACTGTCCTAAAAATGACTAATATTCTGTTAGGGTAATCTGGTGGGTGAAAGGCTTAAAAATCACAAAATATGCAGAGAAGTGGCATAGAAAAGAGAGAGTAGAATATGCATTATTCAAAGAATAACTTGAAAATTACAAAATTCTTACAGTAGGTATACAATTAGAGTTTATTTATTCACTATAGAGATAGATGGAGAGAGAGAATGTGAGCAGGGGGAGGAGCAGAGGAAGAGGGACAAGCAGACTCCATGCTGAGCACAGAGCCCCATGTAGGACTCTATCTGAGGACCCTAAGATCATGACCTGAGCTGAAACCAAGAGTTGGACACTTAACTGACTACGCCACTCAGGTGCCCCTAGAGTGGTATGTTTTAATGTGTGTTTATCCTAGAATGCATAAAATTTGTGACCACCATAAAGTAGAAGCCGCTAAGGGGGGATTCTTTGATCCTGTCCTTATTAGTTACAAAGTGCTTCTCAGTTGAAATGTTTTGAAGCATGGCCTCTTTCATACTCATTTTCTCTCCCAGTCCTGCACTAAGTTGACCTCAGTAAGGAAGGCAGGGAGCTGAATGGTTTCCCATTAAGTTTTTCAGTTCATTACACCAAATTTTAAGTTAATTTGGTTTTGTGTCAGTTTTTAACTGGTTTTGTGTCATCACATTTCTACTTTAAATTTACAAAAGAACAGTTTTGCTTGGAATCTACATTCTAGGTAGTTTCCATAGGAGTGCATTACATTATTAGATGAACTTGGAGCAGATTCTGGAAACATGGAACCTGACATTGTCTTTCCTCCACTTGGCTGCTAGGATCTACAGACTGCTGGGCACAGGTGAGGTTTGCTTTCTGTGGGGGTCTTAGCAGAGAAAGCCCTTCTTTGGCTTTCTGTGGTTTCCCAGAGAGCAGGGCTTTCTCTTTTGGGAGATAAGACTGAAGAACCGCAGATCGTGGGGAGGTTCTTACTTTGAAATTCGTGAGCTTCTCCGTGGAGGTTCGGTATGGGCCCCACCAAAATATGTCAGCTCTCCCTGGCCTCCAGTAGGCTGAGAGCAGCTGAGTGGCCTGAATGTTTCCTGCTCCTAGAGAAGGAGAAAATTCGGGAAGACCATATACAAAGAAGCTTCCTGCAAACTTCCTCCAAGGAATTCACAGCCTGCCTGCCTCACATTCCATCCTCAGCATTTCTGATGTCTCCTACTAATTGCAGCATTGTTCTTAGTGTCAAACAACTGGAAAAAGTGAACGTAGCTCGTTGGGGAATGGCTGCACAAATTATGGCACATCCACACCATGGGAGATGAGCAGCCACTTCAGGGAAAGGAAGAACTAGGTGCATGTCCGTGAATGCTGACATCCACACTCCTAGGCCAGTCACTGGGCAAGGTGGGGGTGCTTGACCCTGTCCATTCCTGCTGATGTGGGAGTCCTCTAACAGGAAACATTTCCTTAGGGACACTCCATCAGTTGAACTGAGGTTTTCTCAGGATTGAACTGCAATCTGAGGTTCATCTTTCGTTCCTCTCACAGATATTAGTCCCAAGTCTTGGTCAAAAGGCCCTCTCTGCCAACGCCTGCTTCTTTACCTTTATTCTTCACAGTCATTTCCCCCAGTGAGTCTCTTGTGTTTAATTCAACTTGCATCTGTTTCTTGGAGGACCTGAACTGATAAAATCTGCTGTGATGCAATGAGGGGGAAAAATCACTTCTATGATATTTCTGCCAAAAAATACATGATCTGAATCTCTTCATGAGGAAACACCAGACAAATCCAACTGAGGTACCTTGTAAAAACAAATGGCCTATAGTCCCCAAAACTGTAAAGATATGATTTAAAAAAGACTAGAAACTGTTCCAGGTTGAAAGAGATGAGATAACTAAATGCATGTGTGATCCTGTATTGAATTGTTACAAAGGACATTATTAAGATAAGTGGAAAACTGGTTCTTTTTATTAGATGGTGATAACCATCTTGATGGCACAAGACTAAATGCTCACCGGAGAATTCGGGGATAATGGATCATCACGTCTGAAACTGGTTTCAGAAGATAAAGGTCTTTGCACTATTTCTGCAACTTGCCTATAGATTTGAAATTCTCATCTTTCAAGAAATAAATGTGGAATATGGAGAATGGACTCAGGAGCTAAGAAGGAAAGTCACAAATTGGAAGGCTGTTGCAGATGTCCAGCTAACCATGAGTGGGCCAGCAGGTTTGGTAAGCAAAGAGAGATTCAAGGTAGATTTAAATGATCAAATTCACCAGACTCACTGATGAATTGGATATGGAGGGTAAGAAAAAGGGTTATTGAAGATAATTTTTTTGTTTCTGGCTTTAGCAACTGAGTGGAGGCTAGCCACTCTGTAGCAAGGAAGATGGAGGGGATAACAGGTTTGGGAAGAAATTCAAGAGTTATAATTGAGTAGGGAGTTGGTTATATGGAACTAGACCTTAGAGTAGAAGTCTGGGATAGAGGTATAAATTTAAGAATTAATAGCATATAGAGCCATTGAAATAGATGGGATCGCCTGCCAGGAAAAAGTAGACATTAAAAGAAGTCCCTCAATTAAACCCTGATGATCTCCACCATTTATGGGTCAGTTAGAAGAGATACAGCTAAGGAGACCAAATTTGATGGAACAAATTTAACCAATTACTCATCTGTCCCAGACTTTTAAAATGGAATGTAGGCAGGATTCTGCTTGCTTATCCAAGAGGAAGCCATGCCACTGTGCTGGATTTGTGAGCTCCTCCCTCAGAAAACATTTTCCATTGTAATTTTCCCTCCGGCTGCAATGGGCTGACCATTGCTGCTTCCAGCATCACCCCCTATTGTGATAGTGACTGAAAACAGGATGAACTCTAAATATGCTTTTAAATTTGCACTTGCATTAGGCTGACTCCTCATAAGAACTTTGGGAATTACTTTCTCTCCTGGGGCTCATTAGAAGCTTCCTCAGTTTAACAAACAGGTAACTAGCTGCCTTATTACATATGTAATAGGGGGAAGACTACTCTCATTTTCAATTCACTGTCATTGTTACCATCAAAGGGAATTGTAAATGAGAGTTTTCTTAAATACAATTAGCTTAAAGCTACTTAAGTATTCTTTCAGAAAACATTCTTACTTAAAAATGTTCAACTCTGGTCTGTGTCTGAAAGATAATACAACACATATAGACTGATTTTATTTATTTTATGTTTGCTGTTATAAAATTTGATAAAAATAGTCCACATTCTTTAGAGAAAGATGAGTGGTAGTTCTTTTTGGGATGCCCCAGTAACAGGTGAGTAGGAAAAGCAAAAACAAAACTAAGTACGCAGGAAAACAATTCTTTAGGAGTGAAAAAAGTTGGGGAGGTCAGTCATCGCGACATTTCAGTGAGGGAATTTCTGGGAAGATGTCACAAATATACATAGGGACCAAGAGATCTGTTCCAGTGTCCCATAAGATGTGTATTTTGTATGACCCCTACTCAAGATTGTCTCAAGAGGTCTTGAGAAAGCTGATGTTGAAAGACTGAAAGCGTTTTACTTATCTGTCAGTTTAACAGTAAGACTTCTGTCTCAACTCTGCCATTCACTAGGGAAAAGCTTCACCAAATGGAGTTTGGCTCTGCCTTTTCCCCAGGTTCCTGTTCTCTGTCCTCATATTAATAAACAATCGAGCTAGAGTTCTTGGCTTCTAACCTTCCAAAATGTTAATAGTGAAATCAGTGGTAGTGTGTTGAGTTATTTGAGTGGTAATTGCCATTGCACAGAGCAAAAGGATAAGCCAGCTGAATAGGCTGTCTTCGGTATCACCAGTCAGCACACAATTGCTTTTCTCCTTTTCCCCAGAGTTGACCAAAGACCCTGAATAGGGCTCAGCTGAAGTGTACACATGGAAATAACGTATTTCATGGAGCCTTAGAGATGCCTACTAATGTGCACTATTCTCTTACTTCACCCTTGCTCTCTCAGAGGCGTTTTGTCTTGTTCTCTGTCTTGTTCATCACTGCCTTGCCGGCACACAGAATAGTGCCCAGCACCTAGGAGATGCATTTGAATATTTGTTGACTTACTGGGTAGTAAAATTAGCATAACCTTGTAGACATGAGATATGGCTTGCTTACATTACTGGATTTAATAAATATTCCAAAAATACTGG